CTTAACTCAGTGAAGCTCTTTTCAGATTCAAAATACCTTTGAGGAAATGTATTTTCAGATGCCAAGTAAACTGCATCATAGTGCGTGCCCCATGCCCCCCCCCCACCCTTGCACTGAAATGGGACAGGACAGACAGTGGTTCTTAAGGAGACAGAGGCCAATTTCCAGGCATTCAGAAGAGGAAGGTATGAGAAGATAAGTTGATTTTCTATTTAAACATAAAACAGCATTTTAATAACTGCTAAAGGCGACATAGATACTTTATTATGGTATAGTATTTAAATGTATGCCTGAGAAACACATAATATTGCCCCTTTAAAAACTAGTTCTATATTTGGATGAAAAAAAGACTCACAGTCAAGTCATTCAAGAGTGATGGAGAGTATACTGCAAAACTACCTAAAGGAAGTCAGGCATAAGAGCTGACAGTGCAATGTGTTTGTGTTAACAGGTCTGCAGCAGCAATAACTACAACTGCTGTCTCGTATGCCAAGCTGAGCCCCTGGGGTCCTCAGACCTGCCACGGCAACCCATCAGCTGTGAAATCTGCTTTCCTCTTTGATAAATGGTCGAGATGTGACCCTATCTCTGTCCTGCAGATGCCCAGATTTCCTGTCATGCTCTTTCCCTTCTGTTTTTTTTTTTTTATTTTTTTTCCTGCCATTTCTCTCTGCCTGACTTTCCCTATCGCTTTTCACTCTCTCTTTTTCAGGCTTCACACCTCTCTTTCAAGGCCTGCCTGGACAACGAAATGCTCCACTCGCCGCTCTTTCTCAGCATCATCCACCMCTCCGCTCCGCTTGCTGAGGCCTGTCGTCCACCTGCAGCCAAACCCACGGGGTCCACAGCGAACACCAGCCTTCTTCTTTTTTTTTTCTTTGCCTCTGGGGAACGCTCACACCCCCACCACCCCAACCCTCCCATCTTTATGCCTCCATAGTACTGCTCCCCAGATACCAGTCTAACCCAGCACATTCTCCTCCTGAATGGCTCCGCGTGCACCAAAGTGCTTCTCCCGTCCACTTTAATGCAAACGCTGCTTAAATTCACTGTAATTTCATTATTTACTGTAAGCCACTTTAAGGACTCGTTACACTTTAGTCCCTATCTGGGCGTTACGCCAGGGATTGAGAAACGGACCCGTGCACCGCATGTGGTGGCTCAACAAAAATAGCTCGACCTCTAAAGTGTCCCATCTTAAACGGTGTGTCTGGATGGAGGGATATAATATGTTTGATTTCAGAGAGAGCATATCAATATCTCACCAGCGGGTCGTGTGTTTCAGGCGCGAGGGAGGCATCACTCCTGCCTCACACCTGACTGCCTTCGGATAATTCACTCACCTTTACAGTTTCAAAAAATCTACGAGAGTAAAAGAAGATTTAATGGTCTGCAGAGGTCACACTTCATAAGAATGGCTGAGGGCAGAGACCTATGAAGCAATGAGCCTTTATTTCTACCTAAAATACTTTCTACCACCTTGTGACCCTGCTCTGTAGCCCTGACATGCATCAGAACTACAACCGGGCTTTCTTCTTTTTCTTCTCTCTCACCTCTTTCTTCTCCCACTCACATTTGTTGTTTCGACTTCTCCCTCTCCAGGTGAGGCATCGAGCTTCGCTTCTGTCTCCATGTGAAGATTTGAGCAACTCCCCTGCCTCCCACTGAAATAACTGAGATAAATACTGCAGTATTTTAGAGATACTGCCAACGGCTGCGTGTTTAACAAGGCAGCGGCTTGATAACTAGAGGCTTGATTAAAAAAAAAAAAAAGAAAGAAGCAAAAGTATGCCACTGCAAACAAAACGATTCCCTCGTGACGCACAAACTACAACCATTGTTGAGGTTTCTGGCTTATTTAGCATCTAAGTAAGTAAGGAGAAAGTTACAGTAAACCCTAAACGGAGGCTCGGTTATACAAAAATGTGCCAGTTGGGTTGACCTAGTCTTTAATAAGAGATGGTGAGAAGCTGCTAACAGCCCCTACCCCATTTGAGAGATGAAAGTTGCGAGTGAAAGAGGGCAAGCAGCAAAGCATTAAAAAAAGCTCCCATGAGAATAAGACACACATGAGATCCTTAAAGGCAGAACTTCTTTCTCTGCTTTTAATTGCAAGCAGGGTTAGGAATGTTCTGTAACCCCTCCACAGCCTATTACAGGTGATGACCACCACCTGCTCACGCTTTCTTTAAAAAAGGGAGAAGTGGAAAGCTGCAGGAAATTCTTCAGAGGGCAGGTCGTTAAGAACTTCTCACTCTCGCCAGGAGCAACAATCAGTTTATGCATCACGTTCAGCGCTCAGAATTTGTTTGTATGTGCTGAAAACGGTGCCAGAAACCTGCTGCTGATGTGTCTGATGGGCAGCTGAGCTCTGATGCCTTTCTGTGGGCGAGCCCTGCTGGGGAGATATATGGAGTGTATTACTGTAGAAGGCGACTTGAGGTGTTGCTCTGTCAAATCTCCTTTCCACTCAAGGATAACTGGCTTTGCGCTGAAAGAAGCCATATTTCATGGCTCTAATACAGCTGGAGTTATTTAAAGCCACTGATGACTTCAAACCCACGAGGGGTGCTCAGAAAACAGTCCAAACCTCTCTGAAAATGATTTAATAAAGTTATGCGTTTCAGGAATCTAGGAAAATAAGAGGGGCGGCTTCTCAATCCGAAATCCTCGTGGACTTTTCCTTATGTGTCTTAACAGGATGAATGAGACTTTAATAGGAATTTCTTAATTAATCCAAATGCAAAATGGAGTATCAAACCCATGAAGGACTTGTCACTCCAGCAGAGCAGCAGGTCAGCTCCAGCCTCTGCTGGGATCTTGGAAACAAGAGATAGAAAGCTTCTGTGTGCAGGCTAACGACAGAAATAATGAACAGTGACTTCATTCAACGGAAACATGGCTTGAGCTCTAAATCCACCAATTAAAATGTTTTTTTCTCTCTCTCTCTTCATAAAATATGGAGATTAAACAGTTGAAACAGACTCATGTTGTGAGCCACTCGGTTCCCACAGGAGTCACCTCAGAAGGTTTGGATGTCATGGATGTTGCAATTAATTTGGGCTTTTAAACTTAAGCAGAATCGTTTCGCCTGGACTGCAATAAAAACATAAAGCTCAGTCCTGAAATAAATGCAAGATCTAGCATTCCTTTAAGGAATGCATGTGGCCTGCTGAGTTTCAAACTAAGATGTGAATATTTCATGCAGTACTGTGAGATTTGGGAGCACTCAACTCAACTACAACCAGATTTAATCTGATCACAGTGTCTGTAAAGCTGACTACAACTACATTTCTGTGTTTTTGCAGTTTGACTGTTGAGACCCATACTAAAAGGCAATCCGTTAAAGATCAACGATTCCTTTCTGTATGTTTCAATAAAATCAGTCCAATCGTTCAAGAGAATTTTTTTAAACATGATGGTAAATAAGTACACAGATCAGGCAAAACCATTATTGTCCTTATTTAACATAATTTGAAAGAAATTTTCATTATAATAAATATAATCTTAAAAACATGTATTGCCCTTAATTAAAAATGTTAAGTTAAACCCTGGAAATCAAAAATTTTCTTCTATTAGATTCTGAACAATCTTTTCAGTATTATCCATCATTTCATTTACAACGCAGTCATGATCACAGTCTTTAAAAATCAATTGGGTGCAGGTTTCCTTCATCTTTCAACAGTTCAGACTCTTCCAGACTCAAATTTCAAGTTATGTATAAATTTTAGCTCATTTTTATCATCTGAGAATAACTTTGTCTTGTGAAAAAAAAAACGCAGAGAGCGATGCTATGGAACAAAAGGTGCTTCCTGTTACAAAACAGCTTTAAGATTTTAATTACAAGGTTTTACCTTTCTTTGATACAAAGTAACGTTAATTTTCTAAAACTACGTTCCATATCAGGAGACAACACATAAAGATGCAAATCAACTGGTCTAATGTGACAGACAAGTTCTATACATGGTATGTAATATGGGTTGAATTTAAATAAAACATTTAAATTTTACTTGCTTCACTAAGAGTTTGTTTTTACAATTATACATACAAAACACTACCTGTTTGCCAGTGAAAATGTAAATTTTCACATTTTAGAAAACTAAAAAAGTCTTAAAATTAATGTAGCTCTTTTTTTTTTTACAATTGTGTTTATTTCCTGTAAACCATCTTGTCGAGCCCACAATCAAAGCTAAAATGTGAAAAGAAAATCAGTAAAAACTGCTCCATATTTGTTTGGGTTTCTAAAGCACTAAGTGACAGCAGACACGAAAAAATAGAGTGTTCCACTATTCTGCAACCAGTGGGTTGCTAGTTCAATCCCCTGTTCCATCCGTCTCAGGCAAGACACTTCCTCCGCCTTGCTTATTGGGGGTCCGGTGGTACCGGTGCGTGGTTGCCTCGCCTCTGTCAGTGTGGCTACAATGTAGCTCACCACCACCAAGTGTCTTTGCGCTTTAATAAGTTCGTTGTGATTTTCTTAAAATCCTTCACAAATCCTCACTTTATTGTGTTCAGCTTGTGTGTGAACAATAAGTACAAACAGACAAAATAGCCAGGGAAGTGTAGATTTTTAAAACACTCAAATTAAAATCATACAATTTAAAACTGTGTAGCAATCCAGTGAATGAGAATTATGTTGGATATTTTACTTTATGAGTTCAATATGAAGAACACAGATACTGCTCTGCTTCCCACAGGTTCCTGCAGATCTGAGACAAATGGCTTCTAAAGAATTTCCAGAATCTGAGTTTTCATTGCTTTTTGTTTGGAACAATGAGTTTTGTCATATTTGCTTACCTGAGCCTGATCTTCTAAACAACCTTTTGCAATCACACCTTTATTGCTTCGTGCCTTCAGAGCCCCCTCTTTAATTCTTTTTCTATTTGCTTCATCCTAACAGTGTGTGGCTTTAATTTGTCTTTTTATTGCAAACACAAATTTGGTCAGTCTATTAGAAAGTTGATACCTAAGTGTTTGAAGTTTTCAGAGTAAAGACATACCAGTGCAGTGGTGTCAGTGCTCATCTCGATCTTCCCTTCGAACGGACCCCAGGTTGTTCCCACAGGAAGCTGCTGTCGGCTGTGGACCCGACGCTCGCCGTCTTTAAGGAACGCGTCCAGCTCCCCTGGAAGGAAAAACACACCACAGAATCCAGAAACAATCAGCCTCAGAGATCTACAGAAGACCTGCTTCACATCAAACTCGTCCTTTATTCTTCAACAGGCAGTACTGTGAAGGTTAAAGGCAAGCAAATCAAGTGAGCATCCATCTGATGGTGTTCCTCAGGCCCACGGAGCCCTAACCTTATTTGAAAGGTGTCTCATGTGGAGATAATCTGAGTGAGACAGTGCAGGCGAGAGCAGCGAGTGGCAGGCCTATTTCTGCTGAAGCAGGAAGGCAAGGCCCTTGTTAGTGCTGCGYAGAGCTCCAGTTAATTAACAGTGGGACCGGATCGCACCGTTAGTACCACCGGTCCTCACCTCCCTGACACCCCCCAGCTATTTTATCTCTTAGATTCAATGTACTTTTTTAGGATGGTGATTAATCAAATAGTTATGATAAACCACATGGTGAGCTGTGACGTGATTTACAGAGGAGGATGTCTCCCTTGTGTGTTTGTGTGTGGATGTGTGTATGTCTGTGTGTAGGTGTGTGTGTGCGTGAAAGAGGAAATACACAACTCCCATCTCTACGTGTTGAACTGGTTGCCTTAAAGCTATAAAATCTTGTCTGAATCTTATTAGACAACTTTAAGTTTAGACATTTTAAACTTAAAAGTTGAACTATCTCAAAGGAACAAATAAATACATACTTGCAAACTGTTTGAAAGAACTAAATGTTGTGAATCAAAGACATGCAAAGGTCTTGTATTTCTTTAAAAAACACTACACTGTGAGTTTTACATTAAGACCACTGAACATCAAGTTACACCTGTTAAGATTAAACCTTCGAAATAACATTACTCACATTTTCACAAAAGATCTGACACTCAGAGCATGTCTTCTGAATGACTCAGCTATTCCCACCATCATTTTAGCTCAATATGTGAAACTGACTGAGACGTTATTTTTGTCTTGGTCATGATTGATTTGTTCTGGCAGCCATCTTGAATTGGGCTGACTCTAAAATGTGATCAGTTGTAGACGAAAATCTGGGTGTCCGTCACACTGTCTTGTCTGCACTTTAGCTCCTGAACGAAGCTATTGATAGCAGTCAAAATTCACATGGTAACTGTTCTTGGTCCAACGGAGGTCTGAAAACATTTTGGGGTCAAAGGTCAAATATGAAGATCAGGTAAAGTCATCTTTGTGGCTTGGATCCCCTTACTTTGGAGGGTACACATAAGTGGTAGGTCACTGAAATAAAGAGGAAGTCATGTTTACACGTTTTTGATATAACTACATGCGTTTTAGAATATTTAAGTCCAAAAATAGAGGTCAACAGGTAACTGCATGCCCAGTGCATTGAATGCAGACAACTCTAAGGCAGATAGGGGCCCACCAGTCCATGCTTTCCCATCAAGTTCTACCTTGTTTTTTCTGTGCTGTTAGCATTAGTGCAGCTGTAAGACCATCAGATATTTAGTTTAGGCTCAGTATGTCAGTAGTTTTCATTGAACTTTTATAATGTGCTTCCAGAGTTAGAAAAAGTCTTAGATAGATTTAATGGTTTTCATGTGTCGCAGTCAGCCATAGGTGCCTGTAGGTGTCCAGGGGTCCCTGAGGGTCTTTATCTTGCTTAGTTTTTGTTTTATGCTATGAAGTATGACCATTAATGCTGAACATCTCAGTCAGAGGAAGGTTTAAGCTTGGATTATACCTCAATACGACATAAGACAGTGGGTTGGAGATTGCGTCATTTTGGACGTCTTTTTCCTGAGCGGGTATAAATGGGCTAAAGACGCGGAGGGCCATAAATTATTATAGAGCCTCCCTCTGCCCTCCCACAGCTAATATAAGTACATAAACAGCAATAATGATGGCTGGATATTGTGTTTTTTATGTAGTTTTGATCAGTGTTTTGTTGGGTGAAGAGTCTGCAGAGGAAAACCTTTTTTATGTTAATGGTGATGATGAAAAAATACATGAAAATCAGCTGCGTGCTCACATTCAATTGATCAAACCAGCTGCTCTTCTAGTTCTTTTAACAACTGGCTTCAGACTAAAAATCATTTTTAACAAAATAACCCGCAGAAGTCAGAGTTAATCGAAGTCCAGCAGCAGCACTGAGGACCTGTACCGCTGCGGTGTTCATCATGAACAAAAACACCCATGAAGTTCTAACCAATCACACGCTCTAAGCCGCAAGGTCCACATCGCAGAGTTCTGACTGGGGGTAATGCATACGACATCTGTCACTGAGGGATAGCAGTGGGAGAGCAGACGGAAGTTGCACAGTTTTTTTGTCACTCAGCAGGGGGAACAAGACTGTGACTCGAAGTATAAACCAGCCTGTAGACCCAAAATGCAGGTGACACATGGATCCCACAAACAAATGAGTATTTGYAAAAATAAAAGTGCTGAAGTGGCAGATAAGACCCTTCCACTGAACTCCAAAAGACATGAGGCAGACTGAGACGACATCTTACATTGTGTACGGCTCAACTGACGAAAATACAGAGACACAAAGAATATAAAGACAACGCAAATGAATATGATCACAAACACCTGACAAGAAGACAACCAGAAATAGGGTGAGTGTGATCAGAGCCAGAGCAAAACTGGGGAACAAGACAAAACAGAAAATTTGGAGTAAGGAACAAAGTGGCAACATAACTAAACAGAAGAGATAAATCTAATCATAAAACACAAAAGGTACGGGTAAGAAAAAACAAAACAAAAACACTGATCCTAACAGAAATGCTCTTCCAAACTTGCAAGTAAAACTAATACTTGTGATTATGCTAACAAAGTGGACGTGTGTTGTTAACATTGTTTCTTTTAACCTGTTCAGGAACACATGAGGTCAGGAGGTATTCGGAGCGCTGGGCTCCTGTTGAATGGGCTCCAGTGATCGCTGAACTTTGTGATATGTTAGAATGACCTATTCAGCTCCAGCCTCCTCTGTAAATATCAGCCATGTATCTGCAGCGCTGTTGTGCTTGTCTGTTGTGTTCGTATGGAAATGTGTGCCTATGTGCCACTTTGCATCTATAAACACCATCAAGCCTGGGTCTGGTGTTACCACCTGCTACACAATGACACGCACTGATCAAATACTCATCAATGGTGGTCAGTCCTGGAACAATAAAAAGGTAAATGTCACCCTTCATGAAAATGGATTTGGCAGACCAAATGTGTGCTAAATGAAGGTAGAAAACCAGTGAAATACCAGATCACAGTTTAAATATCTGTTCATGGCTTAGACAGATTACACAGTTTGAAAATTGCCCTTAAAATGAGATATTCTCAACAGCTTTATATCTCATTCTTATTCTTCCTCTGCATCCTGTCCCCCCCCTCCTGCTCCTGCAGTTGCATGCAGTCTTCCCGGTGCTGCAGTGGAAGGTGGGTAAGCTCATTACAGAGAAATAATTAAACACTGGTGCACAGCTGGCCGTCATCACTGAGAGCAACAGCCACCGCTTGATGCATTCTGTTTGTCCTCAGATAAGACTCACGGCCTTTACCCGCTTGGATGCAAGTTCCTGTTTAGCCCCGTTTGACACAAAACACAGACCCTCCCCAGCCAACAACTCTGACTCCTTCTTTCTGTCTCTTTAAATTCAGGGTAGGCCAGTCAGAGTAAAAAAAACGAATAAATAAAGGGAATGGTGAGGAGTAGGTGTGAGAAGAAGAGGGTGGTAAAAAAAAGGGTAGGGTACAATTTGTGAGGTTTGTGGTCGGCCATGTTTAGGTGCCAGTTGTGCTCATCTCCCAACAAATGTTGCCTGAGGACCTTGGCTCACAGATGGCTTGTAACATCTGCTACAGATACAAGTGGAAAATCTCCACAAAACACCCATGGATGAATAATGAGTCCCCTTCATAAACTGTCTGTATGTTCTTTATGAACTTCTTCATTTTACTAGGTTTCAATAAAACCCCACAATTAGGCTCGAACAGATGTGTCATCAGTGACTCTTCTAATATCAGCTGCTACAATAAGTCAGTTTAAAAACCCCAAATCATAGCTTTTTTAACCTAGAAATATATGTTATAGTTACTAAAAAAAACTCATTTTGGACTGTTTGATTTGTTGTTAAGGAGGGGGAGGGGTATGCAAATTTGACATTTTGACCTTTATATCATGTTCTAATTTCATCCCCTCATTAAAAACACACCCACAGTGTTGCTTTGACTGATTCATGCATGTTTGAGAAATCCTTGAATCGCCTGTGGTAGTCATGTGGAGCTGCCTAAAAACTTGCTGGTACATAGCTCCGCCTATTTACACAAATCTCCTCCCTAAAGCTCAGTCTGCAGCTGAGCTCCCGCCCTCCCCTGAGCATAGTTGTGAAGATGTGCTGAAGTGGCAGTGGCAGAAAGGGTAGGAGGTTCTTAAAGAGACAGAGGCCAATTTTAAGGCATTTAGACTATGATGTAAAGTATTCTTTATGTTTTATACAGCTTTTTCAGAATTGAAGGTAACAGAGTTACTTGATTTCAATACCTCCTACCCCCAAATCCCCAACACAGAGGTGTCAAATCCTGGTTCTTCAGGGCCACCATCCATGTTTTACTTCCTGCTCCAGTGCACTTGATTCAGTCATTGAGTCACCTCTTCCAGTTCTGCAGAAGCAGAAATCAGGTGTGTTGGGGCAGAGGAACCAGGATTGCCCACCCCTGATCTGACACTTAAATGCCACACGTTTGGCAACACAGCACATGACCTCATAACACAACTCAAAAGCTGTACCCTACTCCTTTGAAGCCCAACCCAAACCTCTCCACCACCTTCACCCCCTACAACCAACACCCCCCCACAACACAAACCACCACCACCTCATGCCYCCCGCCCTCGATAAGATCATCATCTGTCGTCAGACTCTAGGGTCTGTCCCTGCACTCCACAGATACTTGGCAGACCAATGAATGTCCCTTTGTGTGGAGAGATCCTCCTCAGATAGCACCCAAGATGCTCCACACTGGCATGTGGTTTTTTTCTGTTTTTTTATGTGTGCAT